GCTGTTGCACTGCGGTTTAGTCCACCACTTGCCTCACCACTTGCCCACTTGCCTACCTTCTAGAAGGTCTACAGCTAAGCTTCCAGAACTCACTAAGACTCCTACGCTATAGACCTACAGATCGAACCCCTGCTGTCTATGGACCTACGACAGGTCTACCAACTGCCTACGAATACACAGGTCGCAGGTTCAATTCTCGGGGTCTACAGAGATACTGTACATGGGTAGGGTGAGGTCTAGGGATCGAACCCTGGGTACTGCATCCGCTACTGCTAAAAGGTGAAAACCGTTTCACCAACAACGAGGATGTCATAATCAGGAGACTTCAAAGTTGTGTCCGTTATTGTATTGGTTTGATCTCAGCCTTTTTAATTCTGCTTCTGGTCTAATTCATGCATGCTGCTCAATGAGTTTGTGCTGGCAAGCAATTTGGGTTCTCACAGGCATGTTCCTTGTAGAGAGGTAACCCTTCTTGTAAGTTTATTCTAGTTTATAGGAAAACGACCCTGCAAGTTCAGTAGCGAGGTGTACTTGCCTGGTGGCTGAACAGTACACACACAAATCTGTTGATAGGAAGATCAATAGTTCAAATCATGTAACGATCCAGAAAGGTTAAGGGTTAGCCCTTCAAGTACTGTAAGACAGAGGCATATCGCTCTTTGTCGTTTATCCTAAATTCGGTCACTATAAAACTAATACATGCATAAATTTCTCAAGCAAGTTAATAGCATCACTAACAAATGCCCAAACCATGACCACTATTATGGAGTACAGCACATATTCAGTCCTCTATACCCCACCTTGAACTCACCAGCTGTTGTTCCAGGTGTAGAATCCACAATAGAAGTTCCCTGCATTGTTACCAAGTTGACCAATGTGGACTTCCCCGCATTCATAGCTCCAAACATCCCGATGTTTATCCGTGGAAGATCAGACGCTCCCGCACTCTTGCCACCTTCCTTTTCAGCACGAGAAGCAGAGCCTGAGTCTAATGGAGCGACTGAGCTAGCTTGTCTGAAGGAATCCAGAAGACCGAGAAGGGACCTCCTACCCCACAGGAAAGAGTTTCTGACAGTGTTCACATGATAATCCTGCTGCTTTCCACAGCTTCTGCTCCGTGCTGATGTGTGAATGACACGAGTACCAGGTGGTGTCAACTTCGTCACAATTGGCTGCAGAAAATGGGGTGGATCGGCCCAGCTCCCCAGTTTGACTCGCTTGCCAACCATACCCACTCGTGCATTAAGACAATTGCGACACTCCTCCGCAGTATCTGTAATACATGGCTTCCCCTCATACAGTTGATAGTCAATCCGATACTTTGTCGGTGTCAATCTGTAGAGTTGCCACGCACAGAAGCACCAAAAAGACAAAAAGCAAACAATACAACCTGTGAATCTGGCCTCCAGATGAAGATAGCTCTGGCATATATGCATCCAGATGAGCATGTCAGCATTCATGCGTTAGGAGGGAAACATACCAAAATCCTAATGACACTGCTGAACCCTACCTTCCAGAACAACCAGTCACAAGGAGGGTAACACTGCTGTGAAGGCAGGGATAACACCACAGTCACATATGTTTGGGCACTACAGAAACGGTTCCTGTCAGAGAAAGAGGCCAGTATCAATGTTCATTCAATTTTGTAGTCACTACCTTCCTATGTCAGGATCGGGTAATTTGTGTCTGCTGCCTACCTTGGATGTAGAATTCACACACACTGCAGCAACACACACACACACACACACACACACACACACACACACACACACACACACACACACATACAGGGTTGAGTTACCCCCTGTTACCCCTTGAATCATCAGTGGATAGGAATGAGTGAGTGTGTTTTGGGAAGGTCTGGCTGGGCCTACAAGTTATAGGACCTGGTTTGTGAGAAACCCTATTGTAAATGGACTCCTGGGTAATTTTTAATAAGGTGGTACTGAGAGAGGTAGGGCAAGCTCGCAAAATTCGCGGTTAAATGCCATTGGGTCCTCAGTACTTGGGAATATGAGGCGCACGAGGAAAAAGGCAGAAGGTCCAGTTGGGTTAATGGTACCTGTATTATGGCGGGGGCTAGTCCGTGGAGAAGAATTTCGGGCCTGGAGTGGACCCTGCGGCAAAGTCAGGTATGATTCATGAACCGGAAATAATAGGCGAAGGATTAGTCTGGAAGGGTGACGGGGCGTACACGCTCTAATCACCTACTATTTAGCGAAAACCGAGGATGGCCAAATCCTCTTCGGCCGGTGAAGCATATGTGTCTTAGTGTCCGGGAGGATAACCCGAATGTTAGGACGCACATGATTCACCTGCCAGGTTCTTGCCGACGACACGCGTAAACTACGCCAACAAGTGATTCAACCGCTTTCACTGCGAATGCAGTTTCAGTCGCTCGGATATGCCGCCTTGATCACCGCTGTTGCCTACGCTATTGTGCCATCGCCAGCGTGCTTGCTTGGTCGGTTGTTAGCCGGGCGTGCACTATTGCCTGCTCCCTTGTGGGGTGCACGTTGCTAGGATATGCGAGTATGGAAGCCCCGTTCAGCTTTGAGGAGATGCTTGACCTTCACTTGGCTGATCAAGGAATAGAGAGCGCTCGGGAGGAAGGACATGGTGACCCGCGGCCAGAGGTGAAAGTTTTTACGGCAAACGCTCGCATCCCCTTCCCTTTCAACTAGTACTATCCCCTGCTACACAGTATATAATGAACTTCTTAATAGTATGGTTCTCATACATTTACTATCAACGTTTATACTTATGAGCTTTGTTGTACAAACTACCTCTGATGAGCTGGCCTTTGGCTAGGCCAGCGAAAAACATGTTTAACAGTTTAAGGGAATTTGGCATTAACCTAGCCTAGTATAACGTTTGAACTTTCGCCTACCCTTATTGTGGTAAAATGGTGATCGTTGCCTATGTGTGAGAAGCACTGAGAACCAATTGAACATCATTATTTTATCGATCTTGCTGCCTGCGTTGATACGTTATGAGCTTCCTTTTTCTTTTCCTTCCTTTTTTCCCTTTTTCTCTCCTTCTGTTTTTGTTTCTTTCTTTTTTTCTTTTTTTCTTTTTTTTTCTTTTTTCTTTTTTCTTTTTTCTTTTTTCTTTTTTCTTTTTTCTTTTTTCTTTTTATCATTTTATCATTGTTTCTTACGATCGTCTTCTTCTCCATCCCTTTTCATCTCTCTGTTATGCATCGTGAGGACTTGCCACGATCGTATGTGAATGTTGCTGTTGTGCGATGGGTGAGTTGTGATTCCTTGGTATACTTGTTTCGTTTTGTATCCAATATGGTTGGTCGGTTGGGAGGGGTATGGGATTTCTGCCCGCGTGACTTGATGGTCTATGTGGGGATTGCCGGGTCAGTGTATGCAGGATAGCATCGGACGCAGGGACATGGATCGACGTGTGTGCTGAGTGGCAACTGAAGGGAGCCTAAGTTTAAGTTCCATCTGTCGGATGAGATCATACCGCTACAGTTTGGTTAGGAGAGAGTTGTGTATATGACTCAGAAGTGTTGTGGAGGGGGTTATCGAGGATCCTGATCGACTGGTACAGTGGTGGGTAATGTTTTCGCCTAAGTTTGTGGAGCCTTGCTACGGTAACTGATCGCTGAATAGGCACAGCTGTCTCCCCGTGGGGATGTGGCTGCTGAGTGTGGTTGTATTATGGGCGCGTGAGTAGCAGTGGGGGTACGATCCGTCGGATCTCTGAGATCAGATCATCGGTCGGAGTAACAGTACATGTCGGGGAAACTGAGATACACCTGAAGTGGTCTGATTGACCTCTGTGAGGGTTGAGGGAATCTCTGCAGATTGGTGGCGTTTCTTTCTCAAATAGGTGTTTTGTGGGATGGTTTAGGAATTTGAGTGTGTGGGTGTAGAGGTGAGGAAAAACCATGAGGGTGGTTGATGCGTTGAGGTAACGAGTGAGCATTCATCTTGAGAGTTTGTGGGCTAATCAGCGGGTGCTTTATTGTGAAGTCCCTCTGATGGGTCTCTCATGAATGGTCTGTCATGTGTATTGGTGTGCTTTGATTGGCTGTATTGCATGTGTGTCTGCGTGCGAATATGGTCTTTCGGGTATGAATTAGCATGCATCTCGTTATAGCAATGGTCATGCTTAGTTGTGAATACGCTTGATGGTTGAGTGGAGTGATGAGGGAATCGATGGACAATCTACCTGGTGGGGTGACGGTGAATTGGAGTGCATACCTTTATGTGCTGAGGCCCTCGCAATATGTGTTCACACACATCATCACACAGACACACGTACGTTTGGGCGAATAGAAGACGTGGACTTGCTCACAAGTTAACATATTGTTGGATGGAGACCTTTCTCATGACCAGGAAAGTTGCCAGTGCTTTGGAGGAAGTGATCTTGGAAAGGAACAGAAGCCCGGTGTGTTGATGACCTTTCACCACGTCAGTTTGGCTACTGACAGATGCCCTCTGACATGAGTACTGCCCATCCTTTCCCCTGCTCATTTGGCCAGTACAGGTTTTTCAAGCTTCCTTTTCTTCCTACCACTGGATGACTGGTTTAGGCAATGAGTCCCAGTCAAGTACCAGTCACGCCTCAACACTCAAAGCAGTCAGAACTGGTATTGCCCATTTTTCAAATCTCCGATCACCCGAATCCCTGAAGTCAACAGTCTTACAACCCCCGCATTATATAAGCCTGCAGCCTGCACATTCATGGGAGCTCACATCTGAGGAGAACCTCGGCAATACCTTCAGATGTCTTCTCAAATTCACAAAGGTTATGAGAAAAAACTGATAATGGAAATTGTATTTACTCATTTTTGCTATAACAAAAGGAAAGAAGTTCTAGCTTACAAAGATCCCGGAACCAGAGCTGCCTTTTTCCCTGCATACAATGCCCCATCGTCTGGCCTGATTGTATTGTTCTAACTTTGTGTGCTTTCATGACAATGGGGCATTATGTTCGGGGCAAGAAGGCAGCTGCCATTCTGGCCTCTTTGTAAGTAAGTAATTTTTCATTTCACGTAGCAAAACCGACTAGATACAGTTTCTGTTTTCAGCTCTTTCTCGCTACCTTTCCCCATTGAGCATTTGAGAAGACCTCTGAAGGTCTCGTCAAGGTCCTCCTCAGATGTGGGGACCCGCAAATGTGCACACTGAAGATCTATAGCGCAGATAAAGATTTGAGACACCTCTGGACGAGAAAGACGCTTCCTGTCACAGACCGGGATGAAGATTTGAGGATGCGCCAATGGCCAAAATCCTCCTATCACGGATCAATAGATAGTGAGATAGTTACCTCTAATCTTCATTATTGTGCAAGGCCACTGCCTCTAAGAGCCCCACAAGGCCCCATTTTTGCAGCCCGTCGGCCGCCCTAAGTGAAGGCAGGCTCGACTAGGCCCTCAGGGCCCTTTTCTGGCCACCACGCAACTTAAGGAAATTCAGGCAGTTGCGCAGCGCCAGTGGGCCGCCTGTGTGAATGTACGTGAAGCAGGCCCTGGGCTGGATACGGGTACTGGGCCAAACACAAGCCGAAAGCAGTTGGGCACATGCAACCACTTCAGGCCCAAGGCCTGCTCC